AGTTCGCTCTAAACACTAACCACGAGGTCCTAAGATTCTTGAATAACAAGAATAAGATAAAAGATAGATATGCATCATGAGTAAAATTCCACTTTTCTTTGCATTTTGTGCTCAAGCACAAAGGTGAGAGCCATAATAAAGTTATTGATATCTCGAGTCATCGGAAGCTATTGATATCAACAATGCATTCTACAATTGTTGAATTTGAAGTGCTGAAGAACATTCATGCTACTAATGAAAGCTTTCAAGAGATTAGTGCTTGATGTCAAGAGAGACCTTAGAATTAGTATCATAGATCAAATGGTTATTCATTCTTCCAAAACAAGTGCATTCTAAAGAGTTCACTAATGTAGGAGTGTCACAATGGAGCATGGCTAGATATTTGGCGGGAACAAAGACTTATTTTTTAGTGAAATAAGATTTATATTGGCCTTGATTGGTTTGAGGTGGTGAGGCACATTCGACCGAGTAAGATATGCTACTTGGCTAAGACTTGAGTGCAAAATACGGGTCTATATAAGCTGCTACCTATTCCAAAGTTGTTTAGGCAGATGTGAACATTGATTATACGCCCCAGATACAGTGAAGTACTTTATTATGGTCATGGTGGATTGTTTCTCCTACATGGCGCACTTTGTATCTTACACAAGATGATACATACTTCACACATTGTAAACTTGTATTTTAGAGATATAGTTAGCCTGCATTATGGGTCACGAACCATCACCTTAAATAGAGACATAATACTTTTAAGTCATTTCAAGAAAACTTTGTGAAGTAAGCTTGGCTCAAAAATTCAATTCATTTCAGCGACTCACCCATATACGGGTTGATAGACAAAGATGGTGAATTCTAGTTTTGGAAATCAACACGGATATTTTGTAGGCAATAATATCAGATAATGGGGTTTGATGCTTCCTCAACTTGAGTTTTCTTATAATCATTCCACCAATCAATCCACGGGTCAATCCATTAGAAATTGTATAAGGGAGGATACTCCCCACTACCGAGCATACCACTAAAGTCGATGCTAGAGTTAGAGAGAATTAGGCCCATCATGAGCAAGCGAGAAATAGAATTTTCAAGTAAAATAAGATCAGAAGTAAGCTAACAAGTCTAGGAGCTTGAAAATTTAAAAAAAAAATGAGACTTGGTATGGATTACATTAAAATAAAGGCTTCATGTAAGTTTTTTGGAAAGCTCAAGCCAAGGAGTGATGGACAATTCAAATTTAACAAGAAAATCAAAGACAATGCCTCCAAGAATGACTTGTTTGATGACTACATTTCTACTATCTTCAACATTGCAGACCTATTGTCGTACAACAATGATCTAAATGCTTTCAACAAAGAAGGCAACACCTTTCCTACCCTTAAAAGACAGTATTTTGCATTAATAAGTCACAAAGCTGCAAAACAGTACAAAATGATGCTAAAGAGCATGCAAAGTATGAGGTGTCCTCCCTAAGAATAGAAAAAAGTGAATGCAGCTCGTACATTTTTCATAAAAAAAAAACGATGCAAAGCCTGTTGTGCCAAAAATAAGCATCCTCATTGTGCTTTCTAGGTGCAAGGTGAAATAAAACTTGACTGAACTCTGTAAAGAAAGCTATATTTAGACTAGGTTGTGCTTGGAAGCTCCATCTCTTCTCCCCCAAGCTCTATCTAAGGAAGTTAATCACATTGTTGTTGTCACCCTCAATAATAACTCCATTCATCCCCAGCATCCGTCATTGATATAGAGGATAGCAACTAGCTCAATCTGGGTGTTTTCCCAATGTTCCAAATTCTTGCCAACCGCAACTACACATTCACAATCTTCATCACGGTTCACAACTCCCATGTCGGCCACACGAAAGAAAAGTAAACCTAGAACCGTTGCCACAATAAACATCAGGAAGGGGACACCAAGAGGCGAAAATTAGACAATCTATTGGACTTTGATTATTATCCCAGTGCTCTCATATTGGGAGAAGGTGAGTTTGTCTGAAACTTTAAGAACTGCTGCCGCGAGAATCATCAGTCTCAAAAGATTTTTTTTTTTTTTTTTTTGCTATTTCTGGCTCTCCAACATTGATGAAGAACACTACAGTACATCCGGGCTTGAGCAATGTAGGAGCAAGGTGTTGAACACATGGACTTATAAGCTTCCTCCCAATTGCTGAAAAAAGGAAAGAAAACCCCCATTTTCTGATTGCCCCAATTACCTCCATGAGGACTCTACAGTTGGTGCTGATGTGAGAATTCTTATCAGGTTGAGCACACCCCCATGGGCAATCCATACAATCCACAAGTCCTCTCATGTGAAGCCAAACATTGGCGGGCAAAGCATCTTTGAAGAATCTCCACCAGAGCATGTTGTGCAGAGGGTTTGCTAAGCAAGCCATCGACATCTTCTTTGCCAAATTGTTCTTTGTATGAAAGGGAGGTGATTATTTTTTCCAGAGTTCCAAGCAGTTAACTCGGGCTGTTTTTTTACCCAAATCAGCATCGCATTGGATTTCGAGAATCCTGCATGGGAGTTCATTACCAAAAAAAAACCTTCCAAGCTGCTCACAGTCCCGGGTCCTTGTCCTGACACAGATCCGCAAAGGCAGATGCTGTTCACAAAGGTTGGTAACTTCAATATGGGGCTGTCAAATATCCAAGCATGGATGAGGGCAAGAATTTATCTCCCATTATCAATCTTCCACCACAGGGTATGCTGGAGTTTTGCCGCTCCATCAGTAAACATCTTCCAGGTGATCGAGTTTCTCATCACAGCAGGCCTATTCCACAGGTTACCTGAAATGTAGATATGAAGAGTTTTGATTCTTTAGGTACTCTCATGCCAACCTGGCTCTCAAAGGACTCCCCATTTGCTGGAATCATGGAACCTTCCCCCAGCATTGGTTGGTTGGCACATGACATTCCATCTCACGTGATGAATCCCAGTTTGATTTGGGCCTTTGTTCCATAGGAAATTTCTGCATTTCCATTTAAAATTCAGCAGCACAGAGCGGAGGACCTCAGTATGGGTTAGTAGGAAATATGGGAGGGACAGGAGGGAGGTGTTGGCTAATGTCACCCTTCCATCCAGAGACAACTGTCGATTTTCCAGGCATTGAGCTTGCTAGTGGCTTTCTGGCTAAGAGGTTCACAAAGTCAGATTTGTGTAGTTTTTTCATGGCTAATCGAATAACCAGATATTCAAACTCCTCCGCTTTATGAAATTTCAAAGCATGGGCAATTTGATTCTTCTTCCAACCTTAGTGTCTTAGACTAAACAGAATGGAGGACTTAGCTTTGTTCATTCATTGTCCAGTCCATTGGCAGTACTCTTCCAGAATCTTGAGAAAGTCCTTGGTAGCAGTCATCGAGGCCCTAGAAACATCAGCTACCCTCCTTGGCAATATGGAGACCAAGGTGGCTTCCCCTCTGTTGTAAGGTAAGGGATAGTTCAGAGCAAAGTATAAACAAATAAGGTGAAAGTGAGCATCCTTGCCTGAGCCCACATTCAGCTTCAATCAATCTAGTTCTTTGACCATGAAAGAAAGAGTATTTAGGCTTTTTGATACATTGGAGTACCCAGTTAGAAAATTTGGCAGGAAAGTGCATGGCATTGAGGATCCCCTAAAGAGTGTCCTAGTTCATTTTATCATATGTTCGCTCCATGTCAATTTTAAGAGCCATGAATCCTAAAGCTGCAGTGGAGTGTTTGACCCTATGGATCATCTCTTGGACTAATAAGCAATAGCTGGAGAAGCCTCTCCTACCCAAGGAGAATAATGCAGATGCTGCCCCCTTACAGGATAGAAGTGGGAACCCCATCCAAAACTGATCCAAACTAGTTATTGCCTGGCCAGTTCAGAGAATTCTTATTCTTTGATCTTGTCGGTTTATTTAGGATACCATTAGGATATTTTATTTCATACATATAAATATATTATTAAAACCTAGTTTGGACACCTTTTTAATTAGGATTTATAATTAGTGAATGCTTTATCTGGTTTTTCCTTGTCAGAGTTTTGTATCCTTTAATTTCTCTCGGGTGGAGTGCTTGTAGCCTGATTGGATCTAGGTGGTGAACTCTCCCAGATGCAGGAGTGCCCCTTCTGCCACCAGCCTTGCTGCCAATCTATAGTTTCCTGTTTCCAGCTTCCTGTTCAGCCGCTGATTGTGCCAATTTATGAGCCACCGTCATCATTTCACCCTCCATTCTTATCCTACAACTCACTTGTGACCTCCCCACACCATCTAGCAATCTTAGATCGATGTCACAACATGTACAACTAAGATGAAAGATATTAGATACCCCTTTAAAATAATTCCCCGCAAAGTTTTGATGTAGAAGTAAGAAAATATTATCCCAAATTGAAAATCCCCATGTGGAGAACAAAACACAAAACAAAAATACAATGTAAACAGAAAATAAAGGAATGGAAGAAAATAATATGAAAATAGACAAAATTAAGAGTATCAACAGGTAAATCAACATCAGATATCAAGACAAACTTGGCATCTCCATGGCCTTCGAGAGGAACTTTACATCTTTGTTTCATCATCAACAAAAGAAATTTCTAAAACAAAGACCATTTATACAAAAAACTAAGAAAAGAACAAACATAAAGGGAAAAAAAGAAAAAAAGTAACCCCAAAACAGCCTCTGCAGCATCCAAGTGTATCTGTATTGCCGAACATTCATTGGCGGCTAACATCAAATAATAAAATGTCTTGCTCATACTCATTCTTGTCTTCATATCACTACATTGTTGTATTCTTCCAGTGCTTTAGAACAAGGGAATCGAATAAATAGGCATTTCAACTAACATTCACTATACCTCGTGTGCAACAAACTCTAAACCCCGCAACATATTTTTCTGTTTTAAAGCACTAAAGGAAAATTTCAAAGAATTAAGTATATGCTAAGGACCTTAAGCAAGAATTTTATTAAAAAAAAAAGAAAGAAAATCCAGCAACATTGAAAAAATAAACCAAATAATCAGTATGAATGGAACTCACATCACTAGCCATGATGAAGAAAAGAGCTGCTGCACCGATGGTGCTTGGAGAATCATCAAAGTTCAAGTCCAAAATTGCATTGATTATTTTATCAGCCATCCTGAAAAACATTTCAGAACTTTAGAAAATTCATGCATGCATACGACAATATCAATACAACTAATAAAAAGATAGCTAAACGCTCCACCCAAAAGCAGATCATGCTTATACATTCGTTTTAGATCTTATAAAAACATAATCATACTTCTAATATTTAATAAATAAATTGCCCACAAGTTGATCTTTAGGTAAGCAATTTTACCCATCTTTGTAGTATATTTTTAAAACATAGTTATATTTTCTTTGATAATTTTAAATAATAGTATTTTTTTTTTTTAGTTCTAAATTTAGAAAATTAAACTTTTAAATAAAATAACATATTTTAATTTTTGGCCATGTCTAATTTCAATGAGTTATAATTCTATCATTAATGATTTATAATTTTCAAAATGCCCAAAAGTTTCTCTATAAATAACAAATTACACCTACATTCATTCTACCTTTTTAAATCATAATATAATTTCATTTATAATTTTAAAAATAATAATATTTTTTTAATTTTAACATAAAAGTATATATGGGTGCTATTTTTGGTTCAATATCTCAATTTAATAAAATTGAATGTCTTCTCAAAAAATTGTTATTTCTAGTTTTATTTTCCTTTAGATTGAATTAATGCCATTTGATAACGTGTTTCTCCATTTAATAAGTATACCATGACATTAAAATTAAAATAATATTTAACTTTTAATATAAAATATTGACCATGTGTTTTCATGGGACGTGCTTGTTCTAAAGCTGTCAATAAATACTTGACGTAGCTGTATAAGAGCGTTCAATTAATAAAGAGAACACGAACCCAATCTACTTAAACATTTGTCCAAATTACATGCTTTGTAGCTTTGATCAAGAAAACTTCAATATGCATCAAGTATTAAGAATTAAAACTTGAATATGTTCCTAACAGTCAAAACAAATGTGAGCTTTACACACAAGAATTAGAGTAGAAACAGAATTAGTAAGTATTTCAGGATATTGAAAGATATGTGATAAATAATATGCAAAAGCTTCTAGAAAAAAGGAGGTTGTTTGTTTAAGAGAATAAAACAAAGGTGCAATTTCCACCAGACTTATTTATTTGCCGTATAAGTAAAACAGCAGACCATACGAATTAGCAGCTATGCTAGCTGAGATTGTGGACAGGCCAATCCAGGAAAAAAATCAAGATGGGATACAAATCATGTGGATCAAACAACTATGAAGTATTGCATAACTGGTTCAGAATTCAACTATATGAATCCTTCTTTGTCCTCATTACTATGATTCATGTTTAAGATTGCGCAATAAAAAAAACACATCTCAATGTTTTTTGAAAAAAATCACCACACCTTATGTTGGTCTTGTTGAGGTGAATGCCACAGGCCCAAAACAAGCCTGAGGCCAGCCTCAGCGCAAAAAACAAGAGGTGCAAGTTACACAAATTAGGTTTTGGTGATTTAAAAAAAAAATTTATAAGTTAAATTTATACTAAAATCTCATTTTAACATTTCACAACAATTAGCCCTATATAGAAACTGAGACACTCGACCCCATCCCTGACCTACCAACCGCATGCATGCTCGTTGTTGGCATCTCAAACCTGCCGTGCTGCTAAAGATGCTGCTTTGCCGAGCTTTCCGCCACATCTCTTCTTGTTGTTGGTAACAATAGCATTTTTTTCTTAAAATTAAAATCTTTTTTTTCTTTCGGTGCTCTGTGTTTCCTTTTTTTTTTACATTTCCTTTCTATAATAACATTTTTTATTATAAGATTTTCGAGGTCATGAGAAAACCACAAAGGGAAATAAAAAACATCGGCATGGAAACATAAAATGGAAGTGAGAATTGGAGGCAGTGAAGTGGCATACATCTATTTGAAGTTCAACTACTGTGATATAAGTGGTTAAATATGGTGCAACATAATAAAAGAATATGTTTCTATTCCGCATAAGAATATTGCACCATGTGCCAAAATTCCTAAAGAAGTAAAATAAAAGATTTGTGCTTGCATAAACCAAGCGACCTTATCAAAATATTTGGCACAACCATACTTTGATGACATAATTGTAAATGGATTTTATTATGGTCATCGGCCTAGAAGTAAAAATTGCTCCTCTTTTTTTCCACAAATGTCTGAAAGAAATGCAAGGAGGCTCATAAACCAATATATAATAAGCGTGGAGAATGTAAGTATGATGGTGAGAAATGGCACATCAAATGTCACATCAAAATGCAAAGAAGACTTGCAATTGTGCTTGAGTGTACAATGAAAGCTACTACAAAAAAGGTAACAGCATTTAGTGTGACAATTTTCCCCCCCTTAAATTAACATAACTTACTTTATAGGTTCCTGTGGTTAAGGCCTAAAACTCCATCCATGTATGAAGTCAGGATTTAAATATTGAATAACTGATAAAATTATCGAAAAGATCATGAGAATTTGGACACTGATTTTACTCACAGTCATGTTTGATGATTTATCAAATCTTCAAAGTAGAAGCTTAATCAGCATTTAATTAACAATCTGAATAACGCTATTTTTATCATATCAAATGAAAGATTCAAAAATAACCCAGCCAAAACATCCTTTAAGATTCTACCCCATAAACATCCATAAGAAGTATGCCTGAAAAAATTCAATTAGGTATCCACCTATGAGCATTCCTCAATATATGTTTGAGTTGAGGCATGTCAACTAACAGATTGGTCTAACCATCCAAGTGCAAGAAGTTGAGCAAAATCCTTATGGTCTATCTTATCAAATTGGGTCCCATTATATTGTGATCGTATACATATATAAAAAAGATAGTTATCAATTAATCCATATCATGCTATAATTACCCTTAAATAAGCACTTGCCATGTACCAAGCCATATCCCTTCTAATGGTGAAAATCTTACTAGGAATAATTAATAAAAAAAATTAGAACTTCTAAATATAAATCTATATTATTGACAAAATTTATAAAAAAAATGATTGAATAAACAAGCATACGTGAATAATTCATTATACAAACAACTATAAAAAATTTTATCCTTTGACTTCTAACCGTTAACCGTATACCAAAATCTACCTAGGCCAAGTTCAAGCAGCTCAACCTATCAAGGATGGGCTACAAAGCAAGCTAGTCAGAAGGAACTCATATAAGTTGCTATTATAGGAATATTCAGCTGAGAGGGTTGATCAAGGGAAGTTGTCCAATTCATATGATCCATTCAGACTATACTCAAGGACAGGGCTAGCATAAATACATGCACACGTTATTCAACCATAGGAGCTGAGTATCGCCAGACATCCCATTAGCTTAACAGAACTACTCATTATAACTCACATAAGCACGTTGAACTTAGGCTAAAATTTTATATGGACTGATTCCTTATTTTAAAAAACATTAGCGTAACCTTGTTTTGCTCGGATAAACACAACTAGCAAATATCTATTTTATAGCAAGCCTTTATTGAGCTTTTAACACAGTTTATATAATGCATGACGAATATGCAAGATGACGATGATGACTACACAAAAATAGCCCATCGAATTTCTCTCAAAAACACAGAATGAGGCTAGCAAGCATCTGTGTATGGATATTAGAAGATTATTTTATGAAATACAATCCTATTCAATATGGCAACCTCTCTATCTTATGTCAATATAATCTGCTTAATAGATTCATATGATTGCTACCTTCAATCACCATTCATAAATGAGCTGAGAACTGGCTAAATAGCACTAAGAAAGTCATTTGAAGTGATTGCCATGTACAATGATTGGTCTAATATTAAGAAATAAATACTTAATCAATATTTTGATTAGAAATCCCTATGGTACTTATTTTTTTTAAAATTATATTGAAGAGTTATACCAAGTAAATGACTTGCATCATATATTTTTAGAATTTTTCTGGAGTTGTAGAGGAGATTGGAGAGCATCAAGTGGTACGAGTCATTAAGAACAATGCTAGCGCTTATAGTGTGACCAAAAATAAGTTGATGGATAAGAAAAAGCATATGTATTGGACATCATATGTGGTACATTGCATAAAATTGATTTTCGAAAAATTATAGAATTGCCTCAAAATAGAAAAGCATTAAGCAATACAAAGAAGATCAACAATACAATCATTTGTGAGTTTTAGCTTCGATGAGAAAATTTTCTAAGAAAGAACTTATATGCCCGCTACTACCAGATTTGCTATGACCTAGTTATTTTTACAAAGCACCTGAAATTAATGCAACCTTTGAAGGCTATGTCCACTTCCACACAAAGATTAAACTATGCTTGGGAAATAAAATAAAATAAAAAAAGGAAAGAAGTTAAAAATTTATTTTGAATGAGAGATTTTGGTTTAAATATGAGTTATGCAATAACAACAACTAAGCCCATGGTTCAAATTTTAATAATGATTAATGCGGATAAAAAACTGCCATGGGCTGCATTTTCAATGCGATGCATGAGGCAAAAAAGTAGATTGCACATAACATAGAAGGACAGGAGTCCAGCCATAAGAGAATTTGAGAAATAACATATAAAAAGTGGGGGCTTCAGCTTTATTGTCATGCTCATCCCTAGGATATTATTTAAATCCCCAATTTCAATATATTAAAAACAAGCCAAGAAATCTTGAGATTAAATTTAATTTACGCCAATGTAAAGATTAATTGACAGCAGACTCAATCGAAACTATGAAGGCCAATCTAAATTTGTAGCATTTTGAAAATAGAAAGGCTTCATTGGACTACGGCAAAACAAATATACAACTATAAAATATTTCTCAAATAATTTTTAAGAATAATTAGTTAATATTTCAATAAATTTGTATAAATATTTAATTATATTTTTTTTCAAATTTAGATGAATGATGGATTCAATTTGATGTTGCTCATCTAGAGTTACAAAAATTTATTATTAAACTACTAAACCTTATATGTTTGTCATATGAGTCTGAGAAAAATTGGAGCATATAAAACCAAGTGTATAACAAATAGAGATAGTTTGACTGCCTTAAAGATGGACTCTTTGACAAACATCACATAAAATAGGTGAATACATATTTGAAAAAATTTTGAGGATGATGAAGTGATGAATATCCATTAATCTAAAATAATATATAATCAGATAATGAATGAAATGACATCATCGGAATTATAACAAGATCTTAATATTAGTTTCTTTAATAAAGATAAAAGTAAAACTAATAGGTCCACAATCAGCAAAAAATCAACAAAAACATTTCCATAAAAATTTACATAATTAAATTTGTAATCATCAATATAATAACTATTTAAAATTTTAATTAACATGCTTATTGATTTTTTTATTGGATAAAAGGAAGAATATTGAGATCAAGAATGAGGGAAAGATTAGGAGAATATTCATATAATTGAGCATCAATCAAGAGATAAACAAATTCATCAGGACAATGACTCTAATGAAGAGTAATTGAGTGATGAAAGTGATGAGACTGATGAGAGCTTCTGAATTTAAAAATTTTAATATTAATGTAATGTTATATTTTTAGTGTAAGAGTAGGATAGAAGGACTTATTGTGTTAAATTTATTTTGAATTATTATGTTTTTACATTGATATTTTATCTTAATTTAATGTTTGTATGGCACTTCTTCATAATTTGATTTTAAGACGTGATCAAGTTACTTGATGATTTATACTTCATACTTTGATGTCCTTATAATACTTCTTAGTTGATGCAATTTATTGATTTTGAGGCTTACACCTCAAAATTCCTTGAGGCTTATGTCTCACCTCATAAACATAAAAAACGTCAATACCCAAATGCTTAATTTTAAGCCATGGTCATGATGAATGTTTTCTTTCTAATCTAAACTTGTATATTAGGAAATCAAATATCCATCATTGAATATATATTCATAATTATACTAGATTTGGAGCGTCTAAGAGTGTCCTTGAGATGGAGTTCAAAGGCTACATTGGAAACACAAGCTTCACAACCTTTGTTGGTCTTTTATAATTTAAGTTGTACGCAAGCCAGTCAGCCTCCATATTTGAGCCTACAAAGTCATTACAAAGCGCTATAGTTATGTATCGGATTCTAAAATTATGTTCAAGTTCATCTAAAGGTGCATTTGCTAAGCAAGCGATACATATCATGTAAATTTTCGGAACTGCTGGTCCTTAATATGGTTTCAAGAATAAACATAAGGCCTGTCCCATTGGCTGTGACTTATAATAGATCTAATGTATGGTATTTAAATGAATTTCTTGGCATATATTTCAAGAATTGAGTAGCCATCTTAGGGTTGTAAGTTAAATTAGCACTAACTAAATGCCATAATGGGTATATCATACAATCCAGTACCAGCTATCATCCATTACAACCAATAAATTTCAAGATCAAGATAATCTGCTTTATTACTTTTTTAGCCCCCCATTATATAGAGGAATATTTTTTTGTTCTTTTATAGTTGGCTATGAACTAAAATCATCTTGGTTTGATAAGAAGGCCTTATCTTCTTCCAAATCTGTTGATATGTGATGTTCTTATTTAAGTGAGAGAATATTTCTCTCTCTTCTCATGTTAATATAATTATTGATTCCAAAGTGTGAATGAACTTGAAGAGATCTGCAAATATCCAGATTTCATTCAGTACATGAAATCTTAAAATGATCTGTTTCCTTACATGATCACAAATTTTTATGTTTTATTTATCTAAGGGAATTCGTTGCTTTTCACAATTTTCTTTTTTTTTTTATGTTATTTTGGTTTCTTGTTATCCATCACTGAAAGTAGTTATATGAGCGATATAGTTTGCTTTCCTCATGAAGTTTACATGCTTATTCCTATAAAACTGATAGCATTATACTATTTACATCTTCGTTAGGAAAACCATATGCATGGCATAACTCATTTACGTTTTTTCATTAGGACACTCTAAAGTGTGATATACCCTGTGCTTTGCACAAAACTCTACTCCTCACACACCAGCTTACTACGTGTAATTATGAAGTTCAGCACCACAAACTCCGATTCTTTAATACGAGTTATCCTATCGGTATGCCTCAGGTTTACTGCAGACCTTCTTTAAGAAAATTAAAACCACTTCATAATTTCTCAATCCTTCCCGTGAATAAAAATATATAAAGAATCAACAAAAGGATCGCAGTAGTCTTCCGCCGAGAGACTGCATAGCCCCAGTCATGAATCTTGATCAAGATGACAGAAATTACAACAATCGAATCGCTTAAAAAAGTATGAAAATAATTCCAGAATACTAACCCCCGAGCCCTAAGTAGCCGGCGCCGCTGCGCCACGCTGCAAATGCTTAGCAGAGAGAGCAAGCTGGCCCGCCGAATTCGAGCGGGCTGCCATGGCTGGAGACCGTCAAGAGAAAAATTCACCTCATCAACATGCTCCATCATCTCCCCGAACTCCTGCGTCTCCAACAGCGTCGAAGTCTCCGACATAGCCGCCGCAGGCTCTTGCCCCTTTAAATCATCGATGCAACCCCGCTTTTGCTTCCGCCCCTTCTTTTCAGTCCTCCTCTCCGTCTCCTCGTCATCCAAGGGGTCTTCGTTCTCACGGAGAGATAATGACAAGAGATCAGGGTCGAGGGACCAAGGTGACGACTCCTGGGAGGATAATGTGACTGCAAGTCCATGGCGACGATCTTGGTGGCTGTCTTGCGAGAGGGAGAGCTCGCGTAGGTCGGCGTCCTCAGATCCGCCATAGTCGGAATCAAAACGGGGGGTTTCGGAGAAACTCCGGGAATCGCAGCGGTTTCGCCTCGAGTAGGTTCGGATCATCATCTAGGGCGGGATTGTAAGGGATCAGTGCTCATCGAGGCGGCGAAACGAGAGAGGATCTCAGCATACGTACGATGGGAGAGAGCCAGAACAGGAAGGCGTTGGGCCGCAAGCCACGACGCACCGCCTTGACGAAGCTGAGCTCGAGTCAAATAGAAAATCATGCCAGCGAGAAAAATAAAAGCTGGAGCTATTGGATTAAAAAAAAAAGTGCTTTTTACAAATCAAGAACTTTTTTTATCCATTTTTTAAGTTCTCGTTAAAATATCAAAATTAGTTATATAACCTCAAGACATCTTTTTTTTTTTATTTCTATCAAAATTCTCAACATTTTGATCATGGCATCCTTTAAATGTATGAATTCTATATTTCAAAAAATTATTTGGATATTTGATTTGTAAATACTAATGTTTCAAATGCTTGGGATCTAAATATCCAAAAAAAATGTGCTTTTACTTTTTTTGAAAGATAAAGATAAATACCATTTGTTCTTTTGTATTTATATGTGTCACACCCCTTACACATGGAATTATATTTCACTTTTTAAAAGTTAAATAGCGATATTTTTTTTAATTGATGTCAAAGACCTTGGTGAATAAATGTAATGATTAAATTTTATGTGTTAGTTGTCTATATAAATAGGTGTGTATGAAAAATACAGCATCACGAATATAAAAGCAAGTCAACGATCAAGAAATAAGTTGATTGCTAGGAGATCAAATGACTGATAAACAACACAACACGGATCTCGGGAAATATAACGATCGAAGGGAGGGGCGATCGGTACACATGATCGTTGAAAATGATTATCAATCGGCCGACCAGGTACTGAACCACATGGTCGGTCCGCAGTCTAAAAGTTAGGAGAATCATTCAAAAGAGAACCAAGGCGGTCAGCATAACTCGGGACAGTCGGTCATGCATCATTTATCACATAGCAAAGCGTCACTCGGAACAGTTGATCTGCAAGAAGGAACAACCAACAGATCAGGTATCAGTCAGATGGCTCTTCTAATATTTTATTAATTTTTCTCTCCATGTTTTACTAAAATTAACCTTATAAAAAGATAATAATGAGGGGACAGATCTCTAATTGTAACACTCTTATCTCTATATCTATAAATAGTGGTCATTCCATTATAAAGGGTTACACAATTTTCTACCACTCTTTATTGTTTCTTCTTCTTCCTAATATTTTTTATTCCTTAGGTGTATTTCTCGGACACTTTTGGATTCAACAAAAAGAATTGCATGATGTATGTAAATATCGCTTTTTTAAAAAACATATTTGAATCTACTTGTGATATTTCTGATATAATGACTATAAGGTAAGAATTATACATGAAGAGGTAAAGGAAAATTAAAAATTATTAAATAAATAATATAAATTATTCATAATAAATCATACTCTATACACTACATGTTGTATTGCTTAATACGTCTTGTTACGTGTTTAAAAATTTGTGATGGTAGAGGGATAATCTAATGTCATAATATTGCACAAAGATCCAACACATACACAAATAATAGAAAAATTGCATAATGAGACACTAAAATTTCTTACATGGAAAAAACTCAAAAAGAAAAAAAAAACTACAAAGGTTGGGTCGATCAAAGTAATACACTATAAATGTGAGTACAAAAGTACAACATTTTCTCACAACTAGGAGAACAAGGTTGTTATTTTACACCTGATATAACTCTCGTAGGTATACATTATAAAGAAAATATATATATGTATGTTAGGAACAATCACTGCATTCTGACTACGACGGTCTAAAGCAGTGTTTGTTGGTGGTCGGTGGTTGGCGACAACATGTGTTGAAGGTAGTTGATGGTTATGGAGTCCAGAAGTAAGCTTCGGGTATTCAATAGATGTGTAACATGTTACAGCCCTATTTGAGATATGACATTTGCAAGCAGGGGTCGATGCGACAAGAGGTTGTCTGTTGTAGGAGATTGGTGTCGACAAATAGAGAAGGTCAGTAGTGATCAACAGTTGTAGACAGAAGGTGTTCGATGGTGGTCGACGGTAGTCTGCAGTTACAGGGGCTGAAAGTTATCATAGGGTTTTCAGTCAAAAACGGGCAATGGAATTCCTCTCTCTCTCTCTCTCTCCACCCCCCTCCCCCTCCCCCCTAAGTGAAAAAAAGGTTATTTATATTCATTAGGGTATTCGTGTTTTGGGTTTTTTGGAAAATAATGTCCCCAAGCACCTAATCATACAGTCCATACTGATCCCTCTTGATTATAGAAGTTTTCAATGATTTAAGTGCATTAATGACCTATGCATTGAGTGATATTGGGTTTGTTGGATTCTTCTCGTCAAGATGCTCATTTTTTTACAAGAAATGTGTCATATTTGGAGTTTCCTTAACTATTAAATTGACAATCCAAAGCGATCAAATGAACTTCAATGGCTTGATCGGAGCTTGACTAGACCTAGATTTACCTTACAAAGGTATAATTTCGAGATACTCAATTTAACTATAAAATTATTGAAATTGGGGCCTTAGATGATCTTGAATTCAAATTAAAAAAAATATTGCTAAAATATGACTTATGATTTGTGCTATATGATGATTAATGACGTATCAGTTGCTCCACTATTTTTAGACATTGGTGTTTATATAATTCGACAATATAAGTTGTTGGTCTCTTTCATGATTTCATATACCATAATAACTTGTACATTGAATTTAAATAAGAAATTGTTGATATTAATGCTCTTTAAAGCTTTGAGAATGGAAAAATTGAATCTAGCATAGCATAAAATGGCAAAGTAAACACTTCTTGAAAGATACTTGATCATGTTGTTGTAGCCAATGTCGACGGTAGTTATAGTTGTTTGGGTGTGTATGCAGGTATGTATGGAAGCATGTGTATGTTCAATTAAGTGAAATGAATAGAATTATGTGCTTAAGGATGAGATGAGATCCGAAGGTGAGTACGAACACGATCGGAAAGGTAACTATGTGCGCAGGCAGGTTGTGCTTGCAAAGGTGAGCGTGTGCTTGCACAGGCTTATGCGGGAGTGCGCGTTGGTGTATGCTCGCACGGTGTTTGTGCAACAACGGTAGCTTGTAGGTACGTATGTGTGCGAGTGCACGTGTCGATGGTAGTGGCTGTTGCATGGGTGTGAGGGTGCACATGGGGGCGTGGACTGGGCTAGTAGTGGATGTGCGGGCAGACCAAGTCCGCATCGGTGGGTGCATGGTTATGAGTGCACAACAATGAGAGACACATTGGCTGACAACACAATAACATGGTTTGGGTCCACACACATGGTCGGTTGGCGGTTGTGCGGGCAGACTAGGGCAGCAAAGGATACAAATTGTTGCACATGTCCGTGTGTTCACGTCTGCGCACGTCTGCACTCACATGCATGCCCTTTCGCACATTCTTACTTCCAAAATTTTGAACCCAAATTTCAACTTTCTGCTTAAAAAATACTATTTAAGGGGATGAAAGACACACCACTTCTCTCATGATCGAAGTATCTTCAGGTCTGGTGTTTCTTTGCCACTTAAGTTATTGTTACCTTCCATGAAGTATGATGTTGTTGCCTCCCTCAAAGTAGGTTATTGTTGCCTTCCCTGAAGTAGGTTGTTGCCTCCTCTTACTTACATTGTTATTGTCTTCCGCAAAGTAGCATTTGTTGTCTTTTCTTGCATAGGTTATTTTTTTCTCCTCTTATGTTGGCAGTTAGTGCCTCCCTTAACATAAGTTGTTGTTGCAACTCTGAAGTTGTTTGTTGTTGCCTTTAAGTGGGAGATTCTTCGTGCTTGATTTTTTTTTTTTGAAATTCCATATCTCGCGAAGTTTTTCACCCCAAAAGTCACATAAAATATCAGAAATGATTTGATACTTTTCTAAAAAAAGTTCAACTTTTTGAATGACATGGTGGTTAGGTTGTTGAATTTGACTGATCGAGTCTGTTCACCTTCTCTTGAATATGTCACAAATTATTAGGTTGATTTGCACGTCGGCTTGCAGTTACCATAAGTGTCGAGTTAATGAGTATTCTAATGATTAGATTTGGATTAATTTGTCAACCTAACAAAATAGATATTTTATTTATTCTCTTACTCTTTTTGTAGCAATTTCTACAGAGATACATGAGAATTAAAAAAATAAAGCAATTTCTACAAAGATACATGATAATTAAAAAAATAAAAGTACATCTAAAATATTAAGTAGTTGTTATAAGTTATATCAAACCAACATAGATTAAGGGCTCGTTTGGGAGGGCTTTTTGGCTGCGGCACGGTCAATTGCCGCGAATTTTTGGCGAAAGTTATTGTTTGGTTCATAACTGTGCGACACAACTTTGGCGAAGCGGAGAGAAAGCGGGCCGTGGCATTAACCCCGAGGCCCCGCTTTTGCCCCGACACTTTTACCCTTTACCCCACGTCTTTCTCCTCTACCCTAGCTGCTTCTCCGCTGCTTCCCTCTCGAATCCCCTTCTCCTTCTTCTTTTGTAGCCCCTCGAATGACCGATCTCAGATACGATGAACCATTTTCTTCTTGTATTTGCGGATCTGAGGAAAGTTATGCGTTTTTGCGGCTCTGATGTTTTCTCCTCGTCATCTCTTTCTTGTTTCTGCCATTTTTTTCCTCCTTTTCAGTGGTAGATCTATAGCTTCACGAAGGCATCAATGGCATCAATGATTTGCGTTTTTGCTTTGGCTGCTTAGCTAGAAGTTGGCAACAAAAATTCTCAATTTTTTTTTCCTGTTTTTTTGTGGTGGATTTCAGTGCTTAACTAGAAGTTTGGTTTTAGCTGGAAAGTTTGGAACACGATCTTTTACTCTTTTCCCAAACGAACCCTTAGATTTGAGAACAAATTGGCATTATCCATCCAAGTTGTAGATCTTGCACCCATATATGCATGTATGCAGATTTTAATTAGATTGTTCTGTGGTTGAAGATTTGCAAGCACCTATTCATGCAAGATTGGGGTTTGACTTTCTAGCTCATTCTTACCCCAATCTAAAGACAATTCGAAGAGGTTTCTCTTTTCACATAATAATTTCCTCTTTTCTGTTGTAGATTGGCATGCTTAGCTAGAAGTTTGGTTTTATGCAGTTCAATGACAAACTTAAGACAAATTGGATAGCTTACAGAAAATACAATCGTCTATTATGAAAATGAGGGTTAAAAATTAAAGAGTTGCTATTACTATTATAGTTACTCTCTTCTCTCTAATACATATTAAAATTGTAAATAAGAAGAGTTTTTAATTTTTTTGCTTTTTATTGTGGATGCAATTGAATCATTCATATATTAAAGAGTGTTAAGCATGAATGAATGTTTAGTAGCCACCAATCTTGAAAATTAAAACCAAATTGCATCCAAGATGATTGAGGGGGAAAGAGAAATTAGACTAAACAGAAACAAAAGATTCATATTTTGGTATATTTGAAAGAGGGCATTAAAGCTTATTGGTATGACCAATTGCTTGCTTGAAATTCCATGTGTAGCATTCTCTTAATGAAAAATAGGAATCCATGCCTGCATTATGTCGAAGCTTTTCAAATTTCCTATCTTTACTTCCATTTACCTATACAACTTTTGGGTTGGCCTTGGATTGGTGGAAAAATGTCATTATGTATGGTGCAGTTTAACTTTTCTGTTGGACCTGGACATGGCAAATGATCCCATTTAGCTTCTCTATTGGCTGTGAAAGTGCAGTTTTCTATTTTTTTTTTTATGCTTCAGGTTAGATGTGTAAGGTGCAGTTTTCTGTATGCTACCGATTTGCTGTGGGTTGCATATGTATGGAAATTTTTGTATGTTGCCAATTTTTTGTATACTGTCGGTTTAATCAATTTAATATATAAATATATAAATTTATAAACAATTTTAACAAACAGGGGCAACAGAGTCATTTTTCCAGAAACAATTACTCCACAGCTGTTTTCACACAACTACACCAAATAGGTTGCCAGCTTATCCCCACAACAGTTTTCTGGGGCAGCGCAGCTGCAGCTACGCCAAACAGACCCTAACTCGATGGTTGGGTCAAATTGAAGGAGGATGGATTATAAAAATCCTCCAAAAATTATTTAAATCGTTTGATGAGGCAAAGACTATTTGTCACAACCAAATGATAACTAGTGACACTCCCAGAAGTGCTCAACAAAGCCCATTTTGGACTTGTTAATGATCTCAACAACTCAACCATGCATAAAAACGTACTCGCTTGACCTATATACCTACTTTTATAAATCCATTTTAGAGTTGCTTATACTTGCTAAAAGAAGTTATTCGTCCCAATACACTATTGATGATTTCTCCAGCAAATTGGCTACTCCGCAACCATGGCTATCAAAGTGGAGACACCTACAATTAGCTATTCCTGTGTCAAATAATTCACATGTATTTCTATATTTTCGCCACAACATTTTTTTATTTTTTATGGTTATAGACCTCATATAATGCTTTCTATAATGCCCAAAATCCAATAAATCTAGAGTTAGAAAGACATTTCTAGACAATATTCTCTTGTATTTAAAATGATTACAGTTAAATACAAGAGCCTCATCACTCCTTTTGTCTTTTCTCTCTTATTTTATACTACATGCTTGTGCTCAGTTGGTCTTACAAGTGGGTTCTGGCATCCCCAATTGCTTTAGATCCAACAACAACTTTGTAATTTTATAAATTGTTAGAAAAAATTAAAATAAAAAGGAGAACTTCAAATTAACGAAATGAAGTATAATTCATGAGCTAAATTAAAAATGACTTGAAAGAAAGAAACAGATACACAGAGAAATCTCTTAGTAATAGTAACAGCAACTATAATTACATCATGGTAATATAAATGCAAGGAGTGAAGGAGAACACAAAACCGTTTCCCACTCCCTCCTCACACATGCCCCTGTTTTCCACTGGTACCTAAATCAACTGAAAACTACAAATGATTTAGAAATAAAACATACATAAACTCCATGCTTTCTCTTCACATGTAGTCACCGCCATAACATCATAGAAACCACAAAAAGTTCGTAACAAGAAAAGTTATGCAGATTTGAGACTGCAAACATAAAAATTTATGCAGTCATGAACATGGAAGCTAAATAGGCTGTCAACGGCTGCCGGTTAAAATTCTGCAACCAGTGAACTATTCCTATAGAGGGGGAGAGAGAGAGGGAGAGGGAGAGGGAGAGGGTGAGGGAGAGGGAGAGGGCAAAACTGAAGTGAATCCGAACAGATCAAATAACCTCTGTCAGACCAAATCCAGTATGAAACTCAAAAACTGGACCGAATGCATCACGAAAAGAAGAATCATGGATCCTTCCACATGAAAGTGGAAGGAGGAAAAGAGTGAGGAGCTGAAGAAGAATTCTCCATTTCCTCTTCAGCGGTTGCGGCTGGCAGCTGAGGGGCAGAGCACCCTGTTTCAGCTTCAGAAACAGAGCCTAAAGGAGACTGAAAAAGCATGCTTCCTCCAGCTCCATCAACATCATCCCAAACAGAACTTCCAGGTCCCCAAGCATTAAACCAGGCCTCTTCCGCCTCACTCCACACCAATTCCGTTCCAAACGAACTCTGCTCCATCGCCGCCACTTCTGAGCTCTGCTCACTGCTGTCCAAAACTTCCACCTTTTTCTTTTGAGGGGTGGAAGAAGAAGGAGAAGATGAGCAAGAAGCCACGTCCTTGCTGCTCTTGCCGAGGAATAAGCTGGGGAAGTTAAGCCGCGCGTTCTCGCCGCGCAGCCTGAAGGCTTCGCGGTCGTAAGCAAGCGCAGCATCTTCTGCAGTGTCGAAGGTGCCTAGCCATAGCCTGTTGCGGTTCTTCGGAAGGCGAATCTCAGCCACCCATTTGCCCCAGTGCCGTTGCCTTACTCCTCTATAAAGCTTCACCGGAGGACGTAAAAGCGACGCAGGTGAACTGCTTTTCCCTTCTAAGAGGCTTGTCATCATCATATTCCCACGGGGGCTCAGGTTCAGCGACTCGCTCCAGTACTTGAGCAGCGGCTCTGTATACCTCTGTTGTATTCCTTCTGTTAGAAACAAGGAAGAAGGTGGAGGAGTGGAACCATACTTGTTCTGTGAGAAAGATATCATTTTTTGCTGACTAAGAGGAAGAAGTGAGGATGCAAGTGAAGAAGGGTTTGAGGCTTCGTAAGCAAAAGGGAAGATTGACAAGGGAGAAGAAGCGGTCGGCCCAGCTGGGGTTGATGGAGAGGGGGGATTAGATAAGAATCGAGCCGGGCTTCTAAACTTCTTCAATGGCTGAAGCGCCTCTGGATGTGCCTCTTCAAAAATGGGCACAGAGGGGCTCTCAAACTCCATTGTTCTCCTTGCCGGCGTGTCGAGCTTCGGACCTTTTCCCTTCTGCCTACGCAACTCGTCGTCTCCTTCCACAACACTTGGAGATTTCCCCTCGCCCTTTCTCGCTTCTTCCATGGAGCCCCAAAATGCAGGAGAAGAAAAATATAATTAAGGCCGCCTAGTAAACCACAGCTAAATCAAATTCGAACTGGGGTGAAAAAGAAAGATCGAATTTTGATCACTGATATCGAAAAAGTACAAAACATTGAAACCTTGTGAACAAGAAAAACAAGAAGGCAAAAAACTAGTGATTGGTTCCGCGAAGAGGCATTTTATCAAACACCATGAGAGCAGAAAAGAGTAAAATTCAAATTCCGACCAGGGTTAAAAAATTGGTCTGATTTGATTTTTGCACTCCTAAATTAAAGCTTATCCAAAACAAATAGAACAAAAAGAACAACAAACTACTGCTTGTTTCTCCAAAGAAGCCATCCTAGGAATACCATGACTCCTAAGAAATTATAAGAGGGCCAAAAAAAACAAAAAACCCAATTTTGATTTCTGGTTTATAAACAAATTAGCAAACTAGGTAGAAACTAATGATTGTTTCTGCAAAGAAGCAATCCATCCAAAACCAATCACCAAACTAAAACGTTTTTCCACAATAAAGAGAACACGAACAGCAGGAAACCTAAAATCAGAGCAATGCAAGAGAAAGACAGCACAGAATGGCTACAGGGAAAGGGATATCGAGGAGCGTTGGAAGAAAGCGAGAAAGAGCGTTGAGGGCGTTAATGGCGGTCGGTCCTCTCAGTTCCTCAATCCAGCTGACTTATAAAGCTCTCCAGCATATCCACTCATGGAGCCTTCTCGGAGCCGTAAAGGTCTCCCGACGACTTGCGACAGCCATGGGTGACCCGGGAGCCCACGCGCATTCATATGCGGGCCCGTTCGTCCAGCCCAATCTCGGAAGCAAACAAATATTAAATATATTTTAATCCATTTTCTCAATAATTATTTTAATTATATATATATATATATTAGTTGAATAAAAAAAACCATTTTTTTTTATTTGAACCATAAGTAGGGGAGAGCTGAATACGAGCGAGCCCAGGTTCAGCTCGCGTTCGGCTCGTTCATATTTCAAGCTCAAAAAGTGTGTTCGTGTTCGACCATTTTTCTCAGCGAGTTGAACACGAGCTGTTTACGAACAGTCGTCTTGACTACCCTAATCATGTAGTCATCAGAAAAGGATTGGGGTAAGATTTAAAAATTATTGTTTACATTAAAACATCACTTAAATCTAATTAAATACTGTTTATTCTATTTTCTTAATTAATATTTTTAATTGATTATTGTTCGTGTTCGGTGTTCGTGTTCGGCTCGTTAACTGCGAACGAGCCGAACACGAACTGTTCGCGCAGCCCTAGCCATAAGGAAAATTATTATTGAGGGGGTTATTTCATGATTCAACAATAATTTAATTATTATAAAATTAAAAAATTCATAAAATAATAAAAATATAAAAACCTAATTCTATGATAAAACATATAATCATAATAATAAACGAAATTTAACTTTTTTTTGTGAGTTTTGTTGATTTTCAATAAATTTTTTTATAGTTTTTATTAATTTCAAATATTTTTTTGTAAATGATAAAAAATAGAAAATAAACAATTTGGCTCCATTTTAATTTTTAAATGGGCTTCAATTAAAACTAGTTCTAATTGCAAAAACTGATAAAATTTCTTTAAATAAATCAATATCCACGTGGCCAACTATCTTGACCAGCACTCCAAACTCCCCTGGAAAATGTCTGATTCCTAATTACTGCCCGTGTAATCAGCGGCTTCAAAGACAACCGTTAAACGTCATTTAAGAGTAGTTAAAAAGGTGTCCTGTCGATTAATCACTACTAATTACGATTAACAGTCATTTAACATTAAATTATGGCATTTAATTACAACTTTAGCATGGACAAATGGAAGCTTGGATTTAAGATTAAGAAACTGCTCCGGCATTTCCATGCTCTTGTTTTACACATTGCTATTTATAAATCTAGCACACTATTTCATCCATTTTTAATATTCTCACTCACATATCAAAATTTATTATAAAGCCCAATTCATACTTTTTTATTTTTATCAAATTCTCAATGATTTTATCTCAGCACGTGTAAATGTATCAATTTGATAGTTCAAAAACTCTTAGATGCCGATTTTTCAAATAATGATGTTTCGAGTGTTGTATATAAAATATATATTGTTAATTTTCTTTATATTACAAAAAACGAAACTAATTATTCTATATATATATATATATATATATATATATATGTTATGATTGTTTATATCATGTAATCATTCTATCATATTTTATAGTTTTAAGAAAATATAAATTAATGAGGTGCCCAACATATTTATGTACTTAATATATAATATGTTTAATAATAGATGAACTTTATATTAAAATCATATTATTTGATATATTCATAATAACATATAGAATGTCGATTACAGTGTTATTGGCGTATAATATTTGAAAAAAATAGCTGCATAGCATTAATATAAGAAAATACATGTTATTTATTTAAATAGTAAATGTCTTTCTCAATTTGGTAACCATGGAGTCGGTTTTTTCAAACGCAGCACCGGCCTTCCGGGCCGTCGCTTTCAGGTAGGCGGTAACGTTACCGGAATAAAAAGTCCAAGCGAAGGCGGAAGTGGCCGGTGGAGGCTGAGGGAGACGGATGCCACGTGGCAGCAGCCCACGTCACATGCTCTCATCACGCCGGGAGTAAATCCAATGGCTTCAAAAAATAGTTACTAATTACTACATATGTATAAAAAACATAAACTTCATTAGTTGATGCGGCAAATCATTAAGGGGGAAAAAGACTATGATTTACCATGTTTTTATTGATTAGGGCACCTTCTATTTAAATTAATTTTACTAGATAGATTTGTTTTGTTTTTTAAAATTAAATTAGTTGTCCACACAAGGGTTTTATGGACTCTTTCTCACTCTATGTAAGTTGATGGCACTCCTACCCCATCAAAATTGCCCTTTTTTTTTTATCTATTTTTAGGTTAAAAATGAGTATACCTACGTACCTAACTCTTGTCGACGGATCATATGTCATTTTTGTATCCTCTTGCCCTCCATGTATCCCTCTCTCTCCAATCTGATGTTTGAAAATGACTAACATTTTAAAGGTATTACTCTCGCTTACCTATCTGATTTGGGCATATTACATATCCTCATTAATTTGAACATCATCCTCCTCTCATATCATTGGCTTCCTTCTTTTTAGTTCTTGGAGCCTTTTGTGAAACCTTAAACCTCATAATATAAGAATTCCCTTTCATGCCACAAAATCACACAACTAAAGAAGAGAGTTTGCACAACACTTTATACACATTTTTTTAGTAATGTAAACTCTCTTAACTAGATGGAAAATGAGCTCATCGTCTTCTTTTACTAAGTGCAACATGGATGAATTCTCGTTCTCTATCTAGACATTTTCTATTTAAGATTAAGAATTGGAGTTAGCTCTTGTTAGGTGTATAGCCATCAAGAGGCATTTTATTGATCTATTTTTGCTATGATTAAGAAATTGTGGAAGCTCTAACATAATCTTGATTTATTAATAATTGCTAAGGTTTTTCCATTTAAATTATCTTGTTATGAGTACTATTAAATAATTTGACATGGGTTTGTTGATCTTAAATTTCATTCGTGATCCTCTACATTAGGTGACTATGCATATTATATGTACAATATCCTTTTCTGCCCCACCAACAATTTTAAAATTGTATTATTCAGTTGGATAATATATATACTTTATATTGTATAATGAAATATGCAACAAGTTTTATATACTTATAGATAAATATTTCATGTATGAAATTTTCACTTATAAAAAATTCTTTAACTAGGAACTTCTTTCAAAAAATATATCATTATGTCTAGACAATCTAGATAGTCTAAAAGAGCCCTTTCACGATCAAATCAAATGTCATTCATTAATTATTGAGAGAGAGAGAGAGAGAGAGAGAGAGAGA